CGTCGTCCTCTACATTTGTAGGTTTCTACAACAGGTAGTTGCTGTCCATTTGAAACTTAGATTCATTCAGATCTATGACTGTTGTTATAGTAGAAGTCAGTTTTCTGGATGTTCTTCATTTACAGAAACAGCGAAGGCACATTAACTTTTAAACACAAGTCTGTAACAGTTATAATAGGAATTACTAAATACTTCTAGTTTTACTAACTGTCATAAAATAGAGATGATTCTTCTCCATGCACGAACAAAGCTTTAAGCGCTACGGAAGACTAACTGTATTTTGCAAGAATGATGTTCCAGGTCTCGTGCTGTCCTATGAAGTACTCCATCTACCGTTAATTGACCTTATTCTGATGCCCATGATTACGCAGTATTGCTTGACATCGCAATTTACACTGTAACAAGTTCAGTTAAAGACGGCGATGTCAATCGTAGACTGGAGATCTTGACAAACTTCCCACAAGCCCTCCGATATAGTTGACGTCAGCTTCCAAGGCTACGTTTAAGTAGACCAAAAGCACAACAGTTCACTGGAACTGTGTCGGAGAATTTGGTAGATATATGGTCGAATGAGATTGCGTTGTTATTCCAGTTTCTTCGGCCAGCTTTATCATGAAAACTGTCTTTGATTATTCTATGTGGTTGGAAGCTTGTGAACTTTTGGCTGATGGGCCTTCGTCAACTGCAAATCCTTATTTATTGCTTTGTTAATAGTAGAAAAGAAATCGTTCCATCTTCATTGAAATGGCTGTTTGTGTCGGAGTGCTTTCTTTGTTAACCATAACCTTTTCTTTGCGGATGAAGGTGTTACTCCAGTTTGGATTGGGATGTTTTTCAAAGACCTTTTCCGTTCTAAACTTTTTGGGGATGTTTTCCTGCTTACTTGGTGAATACTCAAGGGTTCTTTCTTTGAAATATTGTGTCGTTTTGACTCTACATTATTTAAAAACCTTTATTTATTATAATCCTACCTCGAAGAAGACGATGACTTATACTTCTCCATGGGTTGCTCCAAATATATGACAATTACAAAAAGTATTTCAAAGGTATGCTCTCTGTACATGTCTCCATTCCATTACTCAGTTTATTAAAACATGTTCATTTTCAGCCCAATTGAAGATGCCAAATCCTAGCCACCAGCACCAAGTTTTTTGCATGTTCAAAAATCCATCGAAATTTGGAATTTTGGAATTATTACCATTTTTATTGTAATTAAAGATTATGACAAGTTGCTTTGATTTTTATTGGATTTTTAAAGTATCTAATGCAGATGTTTTAATGTAATATTTAAATTTTGAACGTATAATTTGAATCCACTACCATAACCTTCATTGCATCTTTTTAATTCAGACTGTTTGATGAACAACAGATCGGCCTGTTTTGAGGAAAGATGAGGATATATGGTTAGTGGAAAAACCTGCTCCTGAACTCTCAGCTTCTGGAATATCTACAAAGGGAGATATCCCAAAACTGTTCTTCTATTTAAAATATTGACGAATGCAGCATTAAAAACACGTCAACTTTAATGGTGCAGTTGCAGACAGAGTCGTACTTAAAATTCAAAACCAATGGGAATAAGCAGGAATAACCCCTCAACGAAAAGACAAAGTCAAAGTTCAGATTTTAAGTCATTATGATAGTTACAGAGCACTGGAGAAAAGGAAAGGGTGTAAATCTAATGAGAGAAAAGAAAAATTGTTTGTTGAAGAACTACAAAACTAATTTTTCGTTGCACGCCAAGATGCTCAGAATATATTAGAAACTGACTGATTCCGAAATCAGGAACAGAAAAAAGAAAATGTCGAATTTCTGAAAGCTTTACAAAATCAAAAGAAGATATCTTTAAGATCAGAAGACGAAACAATTAACAAGAAAAAAGAAAAAAATGACGAAAGAGAATTCTTATTTGATGATAAAAAGGTCTGAAGAACAAAGAAAGCAAATTCGTGCAGCCATTCTATAGTGTGACGTTTACGTTATTATTAGGCTCATTGATATTAAATATTGATTACAGAAAATATGATTTTTGTACATGCATTAGTATTTTGGTTATATATATACATATAGTAAATAGTGAACTATTTGAAATTATCCCTTTTCTAGTCAAGGCTTTAAGTGATCTTTCAGACTTCAAACATGACTATGGTCACTTAGAATGATCAATGTAATGAGAAAATGCCCAGGAAGCATGTATTTTTTAACTTTGAAATTTTCGGAGCACCCTATTCTCCAGTCACCGTAGCGGCATTACATTATTGAATGGTTGGGAATTCACTGTGAACTAAATATAAATAGATTTTCATAAACTCAAAGGTGCTTGAAATCTTACAGTTCAGATGAATACTTTACTTTTGTTTATTCTCGATCGTATTTACAGTCAGCAGTATAAATTAAGATGTTTCTTCTTTTACACTTTCGTTTTGATTTCATTACTCCCTTAAGGAGTAATTTAACATCTTTATGAAATATTTTAGTAAAACTTACTCCTTAGTGGATACGTACACGGTGGAAATTATGTAAGTCTACATTTTAACATACAAAAAAAAATTGGTTTTGGATGCTCGTGGATACTACTCAATTGCTATCTGCAGTAGCCATCCGTAATTTTGATCTGAT